TGGTAGATTCAGAGTCCTTTAGTTTCAAATTAAAATAATTTCTTCCTAACATCTAATCTAAATCTAGTCTCTTTCAATTTGAAGGTATTCCCCCCTGCCCTGTCACTCCAGGTCCTTTTAAGAAGTCCCTCTCCATTTTTCTTGTAGGCTACTTGCAGGTACTGGAAGGCCACAATTAGGTCACCCCCAAGCCTTCCTTTTTCCAGGCTGAGCACTCCCAATTCTCTCAGCTTTTCCTCACTGAAAGCTGCAGAATGGGTGTAAGAATCCCATCCTTTCTTTGGAACTGACATATGGCAAATAATACTCCTGGAGAGGGAGAGGCTCAGAAGAACAAACTCTTTGGCTGCCACTCACCTCCACGTAGGCTGCCCGTGGCTAAACCTCTCGGCTTTGTGACAAGATGTTTCAGCTGCACGTCTGACTCCCAGCGCCCACCCCATCATTTCACCCTTTCAGCGCACACTTAAGATGTTTCAGGTTAATTATAGAAGTGCAGCAGCACATGAGTGAGTGAGAGAGACTCGCAGGGAGATGATAAGAGCCTGCAATTATGTGAAGGGTTTAAATGCTGAGGAGACAAGGAATATATAAGGCATGAAACATGGGCTAGTACTGGGGTGGATGAGACATAACTAAGAAAAGGGAACACCCAGTGAATTCTCTGTATGACAATGTAATTATTAAAGTGGGAGACTCTTCTAGGAGAAAGATTTCCCACTTGGAAGGTTCAAGACTTCAGTAGTTTCATAGGGAATAATTTCAGACTTGTGGTGACTGCAGAACTGTCTTCTCTGGCTTCTCTCGGTATGCCTGCATTCACAGGGAGATTCATAACTGCACAGACATTGATAACAACACATGGCTCCTTCATGACAGTGACTCCTTCATGACAGTGATTTTCATCATATATTGCATGTTTGGCATTCTTATCTCATCAGGACTTCTGCCCATCAACAAGACTCTGCTGCAATGCTGCCTATATTTCTAAAGACCATATAGCTCCAAACAGCTGTTGTGAGACAAAAGAGACAAAAGAAAACCTGTCAGAATGGCATTTGCTTCTTATTCTTGAAAATGTTAAGTTTCTTTCAAAGACTACACTGGCCTGAGGCTTAAGAGAGGTAACATTTGGCTCTGTGCTAGGACAGATTTTATATGTCAACATCCATTGGATTTAGAAAGAGCAGATTTTAAGTGAGAAGTTGCTGTAGAATCTGATAGGTCAGGATATACTGTATATAAGATTGTTTGGTATATTATGAAAAATTTGTTGATTTTATTGGGAAATTTGCAGAAAAAAAAATAAAGGAAAGGCTCAACTAAAAATACAGAGAGGATCCAATTCTACACATTTGCAATTTCTGAATGCATTGTTAAATACTGTAAATAATCTGAAGTCTGTTGTAATAAGTGTTCTAGGCTTTAAATCTTTTAAAGAATCATGGCTATATTTTTAAGCTTTTGTATTTTTTGTTTTTTAGTCAAAAGCTGAATAGCAGTTGTGAGGATTTCTAGGCATCATAAGATCACAGTGTGATGTTTTTGTTCACATTTTTACCATGCAGATATAAGGACTCATGTTCTCATTTTGGCTGCAGCCACAACAGTGTCTTGTTGGTTGAACAACACATTCAGTATTGCCCATATGCATGTGTCTCCTATATATATACACATCTCTCTATATATATACACACAGACATACATGTATTTAATTTTTCTCTCCTATTAATAATCACACACATTGAGGTTTCATGCTCCTGTGTGTTCAGGCTGTTGTAGGGACATGCAGATCACATCCATGCAGATCTGTGTGCTCTCCAGCACCGTGCACTGCCTGTGTTTCCCCTGTCCCTGGGGTCACTCCCAACAGCCAAGTCATGAGAAGTGTACACAGCATGTGGAGCCTGGTCAGCCAGAGCTGCAGGAGAGTTATTCCTGTATATGACATTGCATAACATACCTCAGTAGGTTTTTCCTTCTCTGGTTTACTCAAGCCTGTTATGACACTTCATTGCAGAAAGCAGAATTATTTTGGCCCAAGGAATAACTTTAGCTGGGCAATTTTCAAGTGGCTACAAGGAAGGAGATGATATTTTGGAATTATGTATGTTGTGTGGTGCCCTTTTCATTTGACCTTGCAATATATGGGAGTGAGTTGGTGTGTGGATTGATGAGCTCTCAAATGGACCAGGATGCTAACTGTGAGTCCTGCTGGATTAGAAATGTAAAACTTGAAGAGATAGTGCAGAGAGCAAAAATTTAGTTTGGCAGTAAACAAGAAAAAACAAAGTGTTTCATAGATTTTTCAGTGAGAGCTGGCTCTGTCTCAGTTTCAGGAGAGTCTCTCCCTAGCCAGAGGGAATGTAGGATGTGTCAGAGAGGGTCTGATTGGGGAGGAATTCAATGCAGCTATCAGCAGTGGACTTCTATGTAAATACTGCAACACCTCTGAGCGAAGCAACAGCTGAGATAACACTGTAAACTAATCTTAGTGCTGGCAAAGCTGGTCAATCCCTCACATTATATGGTTTCTGTAGAAAAGATGTGCTAGGGAAAAAAATAAACAGATTTAAAATATATATGGCAACTTACCATCGGGTAAAATATGCTGACTTTTCAAAAATTGAAAGCAGCATATGGTGATATTTTTTTCTTTGAAAAAGTGCTCTGTGCCAGGGTGTATATGCTTAGAAATCCCTGCATCTGTATGAATTCTTGTATAAACAGGCATCACTATTACCAAAGAATTTCCAAGTGTCTGTTATGTGGGCCTGATCAATTTAGATAAATATATTCTTGCTTGGGCTCCTTATCCCACCAGTATTGATTTTGGTTGATTTTCCATCAAGACAAAGCAAACAAAGAGCCAAAGCTTGTCCAGAACAGAGGCATTGAATCACAGTGTTTTGCTGCTTTGACCTTTTGAGGTCACTGAATTTCACAGTCCTACACAGCCTTTCTTAGGTAGCTAAGAAAAATAAAAAAGCAATATATAAATGCATACACACACAGATAAATACATGCATATAAAATATATATGGGCGTATATATTTATATATACTGATGAATTAAATAAACATACAAAACTCTGTACAAAAATGGTGTCTCACCTGGAACAGGTTCTCTTTTCTTGCAGCACTTAAAGAAAAGCAGGAGCTTATCCAAGAACTTTGCTGCTACCATCTCTTTCAGAGCCGTGATTGTAGTTTAGCACAAACCCAAGATAAACTGGGGTTGGGGTGGAGCTAATCACCTCATTAATTGTGCTAGAAACAAGGAAACTGATGCCACAATCTCTGATTTCAGAAGAAATCAAAGTCTGGGGGTCTCTGATGCCCCCTTTGGATATAGTTTAGAAACAAATAGGGATTTCCAGTTGTTTGTGCTTTGTCCGAGCTAAACCACCATGCAGACTGCTCTTCCCTGAACACTTCTCAAAGCCCCAGACTTCAGGTTGTGTATCATTCACAAGCTCTTTCCTTCCACATAATTTAAGATGTATACATCCATGTGATGTCTGCCAGCCTTTGTATGGCATCTCATAAACTGGACCTGTGTTTAAGCAGCTGATCCACTTGAGTGTTCCTCTCTTGACTCTGAATCTCACCATTTCCTCCTGTCCCAAGCCTCAATTCTCCCCGCTGCATCGCAGCATTGTTTCACAGGCAGACACGGAGCACTTTACAAGATCAGCTCCTGGAGGACACTGCACTCCACATTATAATGAGTTTCTCTGGGACATGAGTTGACAATCTCTGCTTTCACATACCAGGCCAAACCCACTCAAGGGATGCCTCTCCAGTCTTTCTATTTTTAACAAACAAAAAAAAGTCCTGAAGACACACGGATTTTCTAGGTTCCACCGCTGCAACAAATTATCGATGTGGATGTTTCAACAACTAAGCAGGAAAACAACTGTCACATTACATTAATACCATAGCTGGGTTTTGTCCAAGCTATTTCCATATCTTGTTCTCTGCCCTAGACATATCACTATCCCTTACTGATCTGTGTGAATTAAAAGAGCAAAGATGAGGAGTTTAAGTGTATGCATATTAACATAAGTGAGCACATCCCATTTTGCGCTATAGATGTCATCCAAAAGCAGAGAAAAGGGTGATTTTTATAGCATGTGCTCATCAAAGTTTAAAAGAAATTGAGTGTGCACTGCTCCTTCCTAAGGCAACACAGGAGAGCAGATGCCGCCCCCATGCAAGAGAGGAGCCTCAGTTGTTGGCACCGAAGTAACCTTATCACTCGTTGATTAAATAGAAACTCGACCGGCCTTTTCTTTTCGGTGGAAAAATGAAAAGCCGTGGGAGAGAACGCCCGCGCGGCTTCCCTCGCACCCTCCGCCAAGCCCGAGCATC